TCAATTAAGTTTAAAATCGCCAAAGCTGGTCTCATCTTCAACCCGCAATTTACAATATATTAATAATATATATATTATTAAAAAAAAAAAGCTACCTAGATTAACTTTATGATACAAAGATTTGTCCAAAGACTTTATTAATATATTGTAAATTGCGGGTTGAAGATGAGACCAGCTTTGGCGATTTTAAACTTAATTGAGAACATCAAGACAAATAATTTTAAAATCCCCGGTATGCTATAAAATCAACAACAAGTGTTTACCTCAAATAACTTATTTAATTCTTTTTCATACAGATATTCTGGACGAACTTCCCGCAGCTGAATATTTCCATATTTACCCTTATGATAATCGAAAATGGCTTTTGACAAAGAAACATCACATCGAACATTTTATCACGCCTTGAGATTGATATGTGATGATAAAGAAGCCTCACCGAAACTTCATGGCCTGACAGAAGGCATTATAAATAGTAAAAAGGTGGGTTGAGTTGCTTTAACAATATCAACAAATGGTAATTATGATGGAGTTTTTTCGACGGCTATTTGCATTTATTTAATAAAATACCTTTACCTTTGTTCTTTATCGAAGTTTGATGTTAAAGCAACAGGATATAGATGATTCCACGAGTCAGCATGAAGTACCTATGAATATAGACGATTCCACGAGTCAGCATGAAGTACCTATGGATATAGATGACTTCATGAGTCAGCATGAAGTGCCTATGAATATAGACGATTCCACGAGTCAGCGTGTGGTTCGGCCAGTGCGATTAAACTGTTATGTCCTACGTATTGTTATCTAAATTACTGATTTTTATGCAAAAACTTTTTTAGAAAACAATCCCACACAACTCTACTCTGAAGTGGAGAAATTGTTTATTGACAAAACCATGTATATAGATAATTATTTTTGAAAACGACAAAAATGCTATAACCGAATTTTTGGTCCATATATTTGAATAATACATATACAATATAAATTTCATGAGTACAATTATAAAGACGGAAAAATTCCTGTCCGCCTTCGAAAATAATTACCCATATCGAGAGATTGAAAGAGGAATACTCAAAATTTAAAGTTCTTCTCCTTCGATCGCATCAATTTGAGAAATCGACATTTCTTTTTTTTAACCCGCAGTCAGGTCAGTATGGCTTGTCTTTATTGTATACTGTATATAACAGATATTTACAAATTGTTTTGACTTTCACATACTAACTCACCCGTCATCGAAAAACTATTTCTCTAGATGCAACTTAGGGAATGATATTTTGC